TCTTTCAAGAAATTTAGCAAATGGACTAGGGTGTTGTTCGGTGTCATCATATCTTCCATAATATTGACCACCTCTATCAGATCTAATGATTTTCACATTTCTATCTAATTGCCGTTCAACTTCATTGACAAAGATCTCTAAAGCATTTATAGCTTTAGATTTTTCATACAGCAAATAAACATAACCATAATGTGAAAAGTCATTAAAAGAGGTGATAAAATACTTTTCTCCACCAAATGATGGAACATCAAAAGTTCCACATATATCGGTGTGTATTATTTCAAGAAGTTGTGTTGTGGCTTCTTTCTTTGTGTGTTTGGTTTGTTTGCCATTAATACAATCCACACAAGTTTTGAGATCACTAAAATCCAAGTTAAGAAGGATTTCATTCTTTACTAATCTTTATATCCTTTCATTGGATATGTGACCCAAACGTTTATGCAACAAGTTAGCAGATCGTTCATTCAATAAATCACGTTTAGTACGAACATTATGATGCAAGGTTAAAAGTGTCTCGACAAAGAGGTTATCAAGCTTTAATTTATATAAGCCATCACAAAGAGTAGCAGAACCAATAAGATGATTTTCTTTAAATAAATTCAAACATCCATTTCCACCATTAAAGAAATATCCAGAAGAATCAAATTTTGATAAGGAAACTAAATTAAGAGAAATAGAAGGTACATAAAGAGTTTGAAATAAGTCTAAATGATGTCATGTATCTAAAATCAAACGGTAGGTTCCTATAGCTTCAACAGGAGCTTTGACTCGATTGCCCATAAGAACAAACTTTTCATTTGGATTTATGGTCCGGATTGTAAGGAATCTGTGCATCGTATTGGAAACGTGAGTGGTACATCCGGAATCAATCCACTAAGTATTATAAGGAACTTCTGCCAAATCAGATTTGAAACATACATAAGAAATAATCTCATATTTACTTTCGAACTATGCCTTACGTTTCAGGCAGTCTTTTTTTATGGTGCCCAGGTTTACGACATAAATGACACGTATCTTATTTTCGTTCCTTATTGAGGATTTGGGGAGAAGACTCATTTATCTTTAGCGGTCCTTGCTTAATGTCCTTTCCAAACCTTTTCTTATATTTCTTTCCACCTCCTTGATGACTTATGAGATGAACAGAATGAGTTCCTTGATTCTTAAGCATCATCTCCTCTTGCACCAGCATACTGTGTAATTCATTCACATTCCATTTGTTCTTTAAGGTATTATAGTTCATCTGGAATGGACCATACTTAGGAGGCAAGGAGTTGATAATAAACTGTACTAGAAAGTTTTCATCCACATTCATCCGAAGAGTCTTAAGTTTTGCTGCAATGTTACTCATTTCAGTAACATGCTCATGCATGGTACGTGAACCATCAAATTTCATGATGGTTAGGGTACCCATAAATGTGCCGGGGAGTGATTTTTCAGTTGTTTGGGAACGTTCTTCCACAAATTTCATAAATTCTTTAGCAATCTCAGTTTTAGGGATAGTGGACTTAATATTCTTTGCTAAGGTCATCCGCATAAACATTAGGCTTAATCTGTTTGATCTTTCCCAAACCTTATGGAATGATCTTTTATCAGCACTGCTCTCATCAGTGAGATCAACATGTTTCTCAACTTGAAGTGCCAAGTCTAACTCCAAAACACCTAACTTGAGCTGGACTTGTTCACACCAGTTAGAGAAATTGAGCTCATTGAACAGTGGTATAGATGAAGCATGCGAATGCAGAGAAAGGGGAACATGCACTGCAAAATATAGAATGCTCTAATATTAATGCTTTGAGTTTTGACTTAAACACTTAAATTCAGATTCCGATAACTTTAAATGTATACCATAGTTCTCCTTTGAGTGATACTACGTTATACCATCATAATAAATATAATGATGCTAGTTAATTTCACGTAAATATCTTAATCAGACATGTCGTTATCTTTGGATATACAAATTACATCCAACTAAATATATCAATTAACCACGATTATGTTAAAGATTAATAAAATTAATTGACCAGCCTTTGGGTGATCCATAACAATTTTATAATCTACGAATGTCAATATACTCTTGACAACAATAATTTTAATGTCATCTTCATTCATAAGCATCAAACCATCAAGAATAATTGACAAATAAACTATGTAATTTGGAGTTCGCAATATCATAATGTTTGGCCACTTTGGTGACTAACAAACAACATTAATCGAGCATTAAATACATAAATAAAACATGAAAGGTAAGTGATTAAACTAGACCTGATCCAATTTAATCCATAATTCAAATTGCACAGAATATCCTACACGTAAACTACTTCTCTGAAACTTAATTATTTCATTTCTTTGGAAAGGGAAAATCAAGTTCCAATGATGCAGAAGCTTGTCTCCTTTAGCCATAATTATATACAAAATCAAGTTGACTAAAAGTGTATAGTGTATTCACCCCACAAAAATAATAAACCCATCATAGACCATCATCATTCTTGAGCAACTATATGCAATAATAAGCAGAATACATGTCGCCAACCCAGAAAATGTCAGACATCAATTTACATGATAGATGAAATCAATAATAAAAGTATTGGACACTACTTCATGCATTTTAGTAACACAGGAACTATGAACTTTTCACTAATAATTACGGGTGCAGACATGAAAATTAAATAGCCATTGGGTCAGAAAAAAAAATCTAGCCGCGGAACCATTATTCTAATTTTAGACCTTGATTCATAAATCGATAAAAACAATTAAGGATTGATGAATGAAAAAACAGTAATCTTTAAAGGAAAATCACGAATTCCCTAACTTGGCTCTGATACCACATGACAAAACATTAGTACGGCAGTAGAATACGGAGGGTATCAAATCATTATACTACATACAAAAAGAGAACAGAATTTTATAAACGCAAAATTTACTTTAAGTTTGACTGACTCATAAGGTAACTAACCAAGATACGATACTCAAGTAAGTCAGTATTACCCATTCTATAATGCAAAACCGAGGGAGATAACTCTCGTTCAATCCTAAGAACTCTCTTTCTGCAAAAAATTTATTGGATTATGCAGGCCATTAAATGGACAAATTATCTCAAAAATTATACGTAAAAATTTCAAGATATCCTTTGCCTTTAAAAGTCAAAGGTAGTTTCCGAGTAACTTTTTCAGGCAAAGTGGTTGTCATTCATGTTCGTATAATTCATTCACCCTCCAAAAGCAATTGATTCTCATCATTTCCTTCTTTTTGTGGCCACAAATGACAAGTCTCTACTCATGTTACAAGCCGTAGCTTTTGTCCCGGGTCGATACATGTAGCCTACAATCGATTTCAACCCCAGCTTGGGATTTCCTAACTAAAATCTTGGGTTATGTTAACAAAGATAATATTTAAGTTTCTTGCCATTTTATGCCTGACAGCAATATGGTAACAAAATATGGCCAACACTAGTAGGGAGTGCCTGCTTAACTTGATGCTTCATTTGATACTGACTTCTATGAAATTTCAATAAAACTATTCTGAGAAGAAAGTATTTTATTTAGTTTTAATTAAATAATGTTAAGTAAATTCCCAACAGTAATGATTTGTTATTTATCAACCATCACTATAACCATTACAACAATGGCACAACCAATAGAGAAGAAAATTAAAAACCCAAAAATTTGAGCTTTTGAAGTTGTTAATTTTATTCACAAAAGGCCTTGGAAAAAATGAACCTTCTCAGGTAGACCTTGAAATCCTTAGTGGAAAAGTGGTTTCCAAGAGGTGGTATTTCTACACGAGTAGAAAAATAAAAATAACAGTTCTTACCATTATAGATCTTTGAAACGCATTATTAGACTCACCAAATTTCCATTATCGAAGTGGGAATTTCCTCCAAAAATGGAAAAATCAGTGATGCAGTCCCTACGACGAAGGGGACAAATACTTGAACATTTCGGCAAATAATAGAAATAAATGAGTAATGTTATTTATGGTCAACAACTGCAGTAGTTCTCCTACGAAGCAGCTTCCATAATTCTGTTGCTTGAAATAAAATGCTAATGCACCAAATAACAAGCTTCCATTTAAAGATGATTACTACAATCATTGATTATAAATAGCGTTATTCTTTAGAAAGGCCGAATTCATGAACTCAACAAATGTTGTAACTGGTTATAGAATCTCAAACTAACACACAAAAAAATTCTACAAGATTGTAGTCAAGAAATATTACTACAACGAATATTTACCCAGAGGGTGCCTCTTCGGGATTTGTTGTCTCGTAAAAATAGGATGTTGTTCGAGCACTTGAAATATGCTTGTCATACATCCTATTTGCTTTATATTTTTAATTAATTTTATATATGTCTAACTATCTATTTATTAAATTTATATAAAATCAAAAATATAATGTAGCCCTTGTTTGGTGGAATTGAAATCAAGGTTTTAATCTAAGTCAAAGTTAACAATTAATTTCAATCATATATTTCATGAAACTCACAACTTTTCATCCACAAATCTCATCAACTTCTTATCAAAATCTGCTAAAAATCTAATTTTAATCATCATCAAACTAGAGCATAATTTTCTTTTTAAAAGTGAATGTATTATATAACAATGGTGAATGAAAATAACGGCTCCTTAAAATTATCTCATTCTAATATGGAATGGATTAGCACTCTTCCATTAGACATGTCGCGAGATGCAATATTTATGGAATTTGCTTGTCACTTATAATTGTCATAATATATTATATTTTCGAAAAAAGAAAGTGTGCGGACACATATTTGATGTGACATATATTCTTAAAAAATATATATAGCAATGGGCGCATATTTGATGAGAAGAAATTATTTTATTTAGTTTTAATTAAATATCAAGACAACTAATGGATACATTGGATAACATGACTTGATGTTGTACTCTAAGTAAAGACATCTGGAAACTCAGTTTTGACTGATATGGGGATTCTTACTGAGTGCATTCCATCCACCCAAGTCAAGCTTCCAAAGTAATATTCAGTGGTAATCTTATGAAATGTAGAAATTGTCACAGTATAAGTCATTGTTCTCAGCTTAGGATTGAACAGCAAATACTTTGGTTTTACATCCACAGCAGTACCTCGAGGAGGATCAACAATTGCTTGGTATTTGGAGTTGGCATTTCCCACATTTGTAACTGTTCTTTTCAGAGTGACTGAACCTTTGAGGTTTGGAATTGTGATGGAAGGAAGGTTTATGTCAAGAATAGAATGACTGGCAGAGCCACCATGACACGGTGAGCTTTTGCCTGCAAGATGTTTGATGGAAGACTCGTTATAACCCATGGCGCAGAGATAGTTTATATAATCTTGGGTTCCCATGTCATATACAAGTCCAGGATTTCTTGCTCCATTTGGGTTAGTAACTCCACCTCCATAATCAAATGGATCAGCAATTTTTGTTATATCTCCCCTAGCAAAAATTGGCTCTCCAGAATAGGGGTCTGTTGTCCATGCTGCACATGTACATTTATGATTAAAGATTTGAGCGAGCAAATTGTATGTGTTTCCGACAGCTGGTTAGAGAAAAAGGTTTCACGGAAACAGTGGTTATAATTGTCTGTTTAAACAACCTGTTGTGATGAGTGCCGACTTAATGGCACCCGGAGACCAATTGGGATGCATAGACTTAAGCAAAGCAGCAATTCCTGCCACATGAGGTGTTGCCATGGACGTTCCACTTTCAAAGGCATATCCCCTTAGGTTGTCTTCAGAGGGTACATATGCTGCTAATATATCAACTCCTGGGGCTGCTATGTCAGGCTATATCATGAATGCATGAGTTGAATAACATGCTCTAATTGGTACTGAATCAAACCAAAATATATGTAATCCAGAAAGTTTTGAAATTTTTTGATACCTTTAGTACTGCTGGGGCAAGAGAATTAGGACCACGAGATGAGAAAGATGCCACATAGGTTGAGGCATATTTACCAGTGTAAGTTTTGGTCGGTTTCAAACGTACCTTAGGGTCACTGTACCGTTGTTAACAAACATTTTGTTTACAGGAAGGCCCTGAAAAATTAAAGTAGAAGACGTAATTCATTATACCTCGTGGAGCGAATGTAATTCAGTATCTGAGTTCCGGTTTCAAATGTCACTTGAATGCATGGAGTGGTATCATAATATAAAGACAAGGCTTTGAAGTTTAGTTTGGCCGCAATAAGCCCCAAGCCACCAGCCTTGAGGACATTAGCCTGAGCTTCCTTTATGCCTCCCTCATCTGCTTCTAAAGTGAAGCAGAGTACCACCTTTCCAGCTACCCATGTATCATTCGAAGATATATCTTCGCAATATCTACAAAGTCATGACAGGTCAACATCTCTCCCAAGAACTTCGAAAGAAATAGAATATATAAACCTTAAAATTTAATGTGTTTTGAGTTTCAATTGCAAAGACAGGTTTAGGCTCAACTAATCCAAGATGTATACCGCTGGTCTTCTAGATCGTTTCTATCTTTGTAAAACAATTCGACAAAGCCAGTGTCCTTTCCTACGTACATTGATTGACCCTGCAGATCATAAAAATGAATCAGTAGGTGAAAATGCAAGAAATCCGTTGAAAATTCATTTTTTTCTGCATTTTCAGAAAGCATAGAAAATTTACCGTGAACTTTTGATTGTTTCCTAGCACGATGGTTGTGGGAAATGATCTATCCATAGTACTAGCTGCAACAGTAATTATCCAAGGTGCCACATCCTCTACTGTTCCAGCAGCTGACCCTGAATTTCCCCCTGAACATACTGTTATTATCCCACTGGCAACAGCGTGGAATGAGCCATAGTAAATCACATCACGCTTGTCAACTTCTGGGTACAGGGGCAAATCTATACCCAACGATATTGATAATACATTAACACCATCATGAATTGCTTCGTCAAAGGCTTTTAGAATGTCAGCAGATGAGACTTCCCCACCCTCCCAACCAACTTTATACATGGCCACCCGGGCTTTCGGTGCCCCTCCCCGAACTGTACCAAGGGCAAGTCCACTAAGACTTGCATTATTTACAAAAGAGCCACCTGCTGTGCTGGCACAGTGTGTTCCATGTCCATCTGAATCTCTTGCAGACAGATAATCGTTAATTTTTGTAGCATTGAATGTTTTTCCATTTGCAGCAAGAAAACCATCTATGAAGTAACGAGCTCCTATCAATTTATTGTTGCAGTGTGTTGCTGGATCAAAGTTCTGTCCAGACTGACAGAAGCCCTTCCACCTTGATGGAATTGGCCCCAAGCCTTTGTCGTTAAATGATTCGGATTCTGGCCATATTCCTGCGTTCCATCCATGTCAAGGTACGTTCTCAGAAATTTGCTTGACTTGAGCAAGACAGAAGAAAAAAAGAAGGAAACACAGTCACGCACCTGTGTCAAAGACACCAATTATAACATCATCTCCCATTTTGGCATCATATAAGAGATTTGCTCGAGAATAGGGAGAGAGACCAAGGTAATCCCAGCTCCTTGTTGTTTGCACCTTGTAAAAGCTATGAGGTAGGACATGAACCACACCCGGTAACTCTACAGTAAATTAAAAGTTCGAAATTTCAGACTACATAACAAAAATACATTTCATTGATAGAAAAATTATATGATCCAGAATTTCCATTGATATACAAAAGCTTCTAATATGGTAAGGAATCATGTTGTTCTATGATCACCCATTAAGGGCACATTTAAAAGAAATTCAGTCTCTTTATTAGTACCTCCAATACTTTGTGCTTGAGATTCTGTCAGTTTTGCTGCAAATCCAGAGAAGCCATGTCTGTAACTGTGTATCATCGAGTCGACCGATGCTTGTTTGCTGTAATTGAGGCATAACAGGTGATGTGTTGGATACATTGTTAAGTTAAAAAACAAAGAATCCAGGAAGTAATAACTAAATCCAAATAGAACCTTCCAAGAATAGAAGCAAGCATATCATGATGGGAAGAAGTAATGAGCTCCACGTCGTCGTGTTTTCTTTCTCCCAAATAAACAATATAAACCTGTATATAAGTTAAAAACAGGAATCATTTTCAGGGCTAGTACTTAGACAAAGGAAATATGAAAAAACATGCGTGCGCGCACGCACACACATCAGATCAGATTCGCTATTACTTGGATTTTAGCATCTTCATTTGCCAGAACAATGTTTTCCAAGTTGAAAAATAATATAGAAACCAAAAGAAGGAATAAGCTGCATTTGTTTTGCCCCATCATTTTGCATGCATTCATATTCTGCATATACAGGTATTTGTTATGCCCTCTCTTATGAGCCAAGCCACATGTATATATACTAGTTTCTTCAGAGGTAGAGGCAGAGGTAGAGGTATATAAACTAGGACTCAGTTTCAACGTTTAGGTCATTGTAGAGCATATTACGTTCATACGATTATTTAAAAATTATGAGTCAGTGTGAATATGTTCATGTTGTATCACTAATTATAGAAGCAGACAATTCCTCGAAAGCTCTTCAGTTTAAACGTTGCTCAATCCTTTCTATGTTGATTATTATTTCGATACTTATTGACGGTGCTAAATTTCAATGTCATCTAACAATGTGAATCCTTATTTACTTTTATTTATTTTTTATGTGTGGAATCAACACGGTGGAAAAATAATGGAGCTAACTTTTCAGGTGATATTTGATGTATTAGGTAATTAACTTTTGAGATCTCGTAATCTTAATGTTCGTTCTTATTTGTTATTTCCATTAGAATTTCCGGTTCCATAACATGCAATCTAGAATATTTGGTTAAGTTTTGAAGTTGTGGCCTCTTTTAGTAGTGCAGTCAGCATTATGCAGAGGAGACTCGACCCCACACACCCACTGGTTTCGTCCAAAAATTCCAAGTACCGAACAAGCTACGAATTTTTGAAATCAACGACAGAAGCTGTGAAAAATGCGTCAACAACCACTGCTAATATAACATACGTAATACGTTGTTGATGATGGTAGCACTGTGTGTATTGTAAATTGGTGATCTTAACAAGGCACGTGATTGGTAATATTATATTTAGCCCTTGTTTGAGCCCCATTTTATTAAAAATATTTTTTTTCAAAACTCATTTTCAATATTTTAAAAACACATTTTCTGCAATATAACATATCCAAAAATTGGCTTACGTTGAAAACATTTGAGGCACTAAAGTATTTTTCAAAACCCCGCAACTATTCGGTTTGGGAGAAAAATCAGCACAATTTACTTAAAGTGGAATATAAAATTATATAGATATTGGATTAGCATGGTTTCAAGTTTATCCAATAGCTAACCCATGAGGCTATCAAATCTCATTGGTTTGTCTAAAAATTCCAAGTATTGAACAAGCTACGAATTTTTGAAATCAAGTACAAAAGTTGGAAACTTAAAAAAAAAAAACTGCAACAATGAACTTAATGCTAACTTTTATGTGAGAAATGGAAACTTGTAAGTTAATTTCTAGTAAACTTAACTAATTAATGAAAAATTTCCTAAAGTAGATTCACAAACAATGCTCATCGAAATCTTATTATTCGGACACGTAAACATTTTTTTTGGGACTCGAAACGATAATATTACGTAACCCGGCTTCTTCATAGCACGCATCCTCATCTACAATCATCCACGCCCCAAGTGAAACAAATCAACTCGTAGAAAGGGAATTAATTTATGAGTTGAAATTTAGATATCATCGGTGCATTTCATTATCAAATTAGAAATTTTGAACTATAGATTCATGCCGTCACACATAGATGGAATTTCGGCGAAATACAAGTTCTATAGAATTATCAAATACGTAGAATCGAAGAATGGTCATTCCACTATAATAGTGCCGAAGCACCGTACCCGAATGCACCAATTCATTCATACTTTAACAAAAATTCATAACTTGAAAATAATCACATGCACCTCTACATACTTTAGTTTGGAGCTTTTGAATGGACGAAGTTGGATTGTTTCCTGACGGTACCCGAAGCTAAAAAAATATGACCGTCTTTTCTTTTTCTTACTTTTGAAAATTTTTCTTGTTCACAATGTGTTCATCCGTTAATAAATGGTACATAAATAATATGAAGGACTTGTTCTCTTTGCTATTTTCAGGCAATTTTCCATTTTCAGTTTTCGAAAACACTGAAAACACGTTTACTTATCTATTTTCAGAAACGAATTTCCAAAAACGAGTTTAAAATTTGCAAAGAAGACGGAAGACACCAAAAAAGTCATTTTGGCTGTTTTCAGTTAAAATCGAGCCAAAACTTCATTTTTTTTAAAAATTTTTGAAAAGAATTTTTCAAAATAACAAAAAAGAATGCGTTTTCAGTAATCTTAAAATTAACACTCAAAACACAAAACTCAAAACTAAAAATTGAAACACGAAGAAAACCGCACCCAGGGTTGTGGAGCAAATGAAAAATTAATGGGTGATACTACACGTACATAATGCGGTGGTCATAACGGTGTCCACCCCCTCACATGGAGATGACCTACTTCGTATATATTATATTTTATTCGAGGTGAGTTTCTCTCCATGTGAGATGGTGGACACCGTTATGGACACCGTATTATGTACGAGTAGTATATTTCAAAGTTAATTCCAATTGGTCCTTGATGAACAATAAAACGTTGGCAGTCATTGACCGCTTAAAGGAAATTCTATATGTTTCTGTCCTTTTATTGTAGGGAATATAGATAGTGCAGACAGTGATAAGTGTATTTTATACACTTATTCGGGGTCTAAAATAGCAATATTTGATAGTTCTTTTAACAAAATATATGCTAAATTATTGTATTTTGTGTTATATAGGTAAAACTCAATGGTTGGACGAGGAATTGAAAGAAATAAGCGAAAACTGGTGAAAATAGCAAAATTCAAAGTTTGAGGATCAATTGTAATATTCAATAGTTGATTCGGACCAAAAGATGAGTTGGAAGATTTTTAGGAGACAATTGGATGGAATTTGAATTCAAAAAGGAATGGAATATGATCAAAATATTATCACAATCAATGTCCAATCGCATAAGTTATATTCCATATTTTTAGTCGAAGATTGAGACTCATTTAAAGATTTTTAGGAGACAATTGGATACAATTAGAACCCAAAAAGGAATGGAATATGATTAAAATCAATTTCCAATCGCACAAGTTATATTCCAGATTTTTAATCGAGGATTGAGACCCATTTTTAGCATAGTAAACGTTCAAATTGGGAAAACTCTATTTCTATAAAACTTCTAGCCCATTGAGTTATCTGTCCAATTCGCTTTTAATTGCATCAATCGGATATCGGGAGAGAGAGTTACGGTCAGAATACTGAATGATGTGTAGAGACAAAAAATCCGCGTGCGAAAATAACTTTCCTTATTTGATTGAAACTCTTTTGGAAGTCAATTTGGAAGTGATTTTCAACCAACTTTCGATTCCTACAAATACATAATAGCAGAGTACATATGGGGACCTCTCTTGTACATATTATAATCAATTATTATAATTAAAGGAGGAGAATTCATAATTTTTGTGAGAGAATTGAAGAAGATTTGCAAGAATTCAATTAAGTGAAAATTCAAACCTAATTTTTGAGTAAAAAAGAGAAGACGCAATCAGAGATTCATTAAGAAATCATTGAAGAGATTCAAAATTTCAAAATTCATCTTCATATTCTCAATTTATCAAAAATTCGGGTGATATCTTTTCACTTAAATATGATTTCTTGTAATTTCAATATGTTAGGCTAATTTTATACATTTCTTGGATGAGATGAACCCTTGTTATGAAATTTTTAGTTTTTAATTAATTATTTTGACTATAAATTAATTTGATTTGTGGATATTTATTATCGTTCTTTTCAATTGCTTGATCAACAATTGAATTGTTAGTGGATTTTATTGTTAACGATATTTTGACTTTAATTTGATTTGATTTGTGGATGTTTATTATCGTTTTTATCGTTCTTTTCAATTGCTTGATCACCAAGTGAATTGTTAGTAAATTTTATTGTTATCGAGAGAGACAATATAGTTTAAGCACATTATAATAAACATTGTAAGGTTCGATAGAAGATAGATATATACATTTATGCTTTATATGATTTCAATAGATGTTCTAGTACTTGTTAATACATTTATCATGTTCGCATCTTTCATTGAGAGATGAAAGGGTCACATGAGGGGAATAGATTTGATCACTATCGAGAGAGGCTTTCAATTAAATTAGAAACATTAACCAATATAAATGATTTCAAATTATCACTTTAATTGTTACACTAAAAATGGAATAACAAGGGAAAGTCGACATCTTAACAATGCATCTCACAAATAATAAGGGAGATTCTACATTTTAGCAATGCATCTCACATATTTTAATAAAACACATTTACTTACTTTCATTAATTTAATTGATAATTTAGAGATTAGTATAGAAAGCTCAAAATCTATTTGCTATTCGACTAAGGTTACCATTAATTTGAAATCGATTGAATACTTAGTCCTCGTGAGTTCGACACTCTACACACTACTATATTATTTATTCACGATCTCGTTCACTTATGGGAAATCAAACGACCAGATATCATTATGCAAACTCGACTACACACACACACCCGCTGTGAGTTCAATGTGAAAAACGCTGCCCACTTTACAATATTGTTTATCGCATCACCCTGACGTCGAAAAACCACTGCTAATTGTTGACATACAAAAGAACTAACCTACGAAATACTTTGTTAGCGACGGTATTTGAAGTTCTTTATCTGCGTTGATTGCGAAAGTTGGTAGCACTGTATTGTAAAATTGGTAGTCTTGACCAGGAACTTGATTGGTAAAATTGGTAATCTTTACCAACATTATATTTATTTAATCTTAGTCGATATTGTGTATGGAACATGTCATGATTAATTTATGGAGTAATTGCGGCAAAAGCTCCAAAGCTTTGAAACATTAGCAGACTTTTCTCAAACCTTTGATTTGTTTCAACCGTCACCCCCAACCTTTCTAAATGTTGCAGGTGAAGCCCTTTTGGACTGTTTCCATCCATAATTGTGTCAGTTTACCAAAAATTTAACTTTGGCCACATTTTTAATATTTTAAAAAGGGACAAAAGAGTAATTTTATATTTATCCCATTGAATAATTAAATAAAAAAATAAGAAATTAAAACACACACACACTTAGTTCATGGTGACTTTTTCGGAACATTCTCCTATTATCAATATTTGTAGGCAAAAATGATTTCCACGTCATTGTTGATCATAATAGTGTATGTTGAACCTATTTGCTCAAAGAAAAATCTGATGCGAAAGAAAATTTCAAGTTATTGATAAAATGATTATGACCCAATTTTAAGCTACGGTACTTTGAACAGATAATGGAAGGGTACTATTCATGTATTCTGAGCTCCCTTACGAGTGAAAATGAGATTGTAGACACACCACAATAAAATGGGATTGTCCATAAATAAAAAATAAAAAATCGACACCTTCTTAAGGTAGCTACGACCATAAGATCTAATACCATTCATTATATTGCAATAATGTCTTTTGATGTCTGCTCTTTTGTCTTTGCAAATGGAAGGATTAATATTTTCAAAAGAAAATCTATGTAAATTAAGGCTCTATTTAATATGGATTAAAATTCAGTTTTTAATTTAAATTAAAGTCAACAATTAATTTTAATCACATATTTTATGGTACCCATAACTTTTTAATTACACGTTTCATCAACTTTTATAAAAAGCTATTAAAATATGATTTTAATCTCCACCAAATAGGTTAAGTAGATGAAATAAGGGTATTATTAACAAAAAGGAAAAACAATTTATGGGGACAAAATGGGAAACTAAATGTTTGTCACTTATTCAAACTTTATGTATAATTGTAGATGGATGCAAATAATGAGTGCTACATCTCTAATGGGGGTAAATATCATTTGATATAACTCTATTTTGCTCTAATGTAATTCAAATGATTATACTCAGTTTTGTTCAATCGAGCAACTACACTTTTAACCCATGTTTGATAGAAATTATAATTAAAATTTTAATTAGAATCAAAATCAACATCTAATTTCAACCATACATTTTATGGGACATATAATTTTGCAACTACACATTTCATCAACTTTTATCAAAATCTGAATTTATTATCCACCAAACAGTGGCTTGTTTTTTTATTTGAGACGGGAATTAAATTTGTCAAATTTTGTCCCTTGAACAAATAAAAATTGGTGATCTAACAATCAATACATATTGGTCGTCATTTATTTTGTTGAAGTTACACTTGTTCCACATTAGCGACTAACAATCACATGTGATGGTCATCATTTGTTGATGGTCATGGCTATTAGCGAATTTGGATAGTGTTATCTTCATTAAAATAAAATTAAAATATAGCTAACGGATTCAAATTAAATTAAAGTGCATTTATGAAATTAAACAAAATTAAAGTATAAACAACACTAGATTAAGAGTATAATTATCCTCCGTGAAACTTACTTATCTCTGATAGAGGTGTCAATTTTGGGTGGTCCGGGCCGGATCGGCCCACCAACATATGAGCCCGGTAACGGCCCGCGGGAAAAAGCCCGCCAACTACAGGTTCCGGGTTGGCCCACAAATTTTGGACTACAACCCGGCCCGCCCACTGATCCATCCGGATCGAGCCCATGCGGGTCACGGGTCGAGCGGGTCACGATTTGTTCTGCTTTGGCCTGTATTATTGTATAAATAAAATTATAAAATTATAGAATTTTTCACGTTTATAGCAAATAAATTTTTTTTGTTAAATGTAAACTAAGAATTGAACAAAATAATAAATTCATATTTACACAAAGAAATGTTTACATAGAATTCAAATTTAATGTTACATGAATTATTTATAACTTTGTAAAGTTAAATAACAATTAAATGCATTTCTAATTACTATTATCAAATATTTATAGTATAAGTAAATCTCAATTAGATTAACACCTAATTTTATTATAATTTATAGTTTAAGTACATTCCAAATAGGTTGACACCTGCTTAAGTCTTAACTATAATTTAGTTGTTCAAAAATTATATATTTTAATATTTGTATATCCACANCCTCCCAAACAGGGCCTTAATTATAATTTAATTGTTCAAAAATTATATATTTTAATATTTGTTTTCTAATCAATTCTTAGGAACTGCAAGATTTTTGAAGTTTTTAACAACATCATTAATAATTTTATTTTGCTCTCTCCCCTCTTTTTTTTCAAATTTAAAAAAAAAAAAATTCATGGGCCAGCGGATTAATCGCGGCCCGTGAAGGTGCAACCCGCAAAACCCGCGGGTCACACCTCCTTAACCCGTGAACTGTCTGCTCGGGTCAAGAGTCGGCCCGCGATCCCGGGTCGATCCGGGCCAGTTTTATCTTAATTTTATTCTTAATTATTTAATAAAATGGCACATCTTATTTCTAATGACGATTACACACTAATATTGTTGTGTTAGCGTGCTAACAAATATTTTGTTGTCTTATTTTTTATTTTTATTTTTTGCTTATTTAATAACATGATGGGTAAAAAGGTCTTTTTATATCTTCATAACAAATATTTTTGAATGGAAACTATTATTGGTGATAAGATATACTAATTTATAGAAGAAGGTCGAGTATAAGAATTAAAAATAAAAATATTGGGGATAAAAGTGGATGTAAATGAGATAAGATTGAAAACTTGAATTAAAATATTGCTAACAAAAATTGTGGTGTGACATAATTAGGGAGTTTTTGTAAATGGTAAGTTTATTAATGAATGACAATTGTACCCCTACAACCCTAAAAATTATTACCATTATATCTTTAATCATTCCCTATAAATATAGGCTTTGGTTCTCATTATAATATACACAAGTTTTTTACTTTTATTTTCTCTTCTCTTTTTATCCCTTTTCACAACACGGAAAGCTTAATTCTTCAACGTTTCGTGAAGTTAGTAATTTTTTTAAAGTTTAATCATCTATCGGGTGTACCAAATTAATTTGGTGACATGTGGATAGTTTTTCTATATACATATGCATCATAACGAAATTACTGCAATTATTTTTGCAATTATTAGTATGCGTGATTTCTTTTCACTATTTAACTTTGTAACTCTTAATATAGAAAAGCAATAATTCATCTTCTGGATTTTGTGACTGTATTATGGCTTTTGATAATATAGACTAGTTCACGACTTAGTTTGAATATTTAATTATCTTTCTCCACTATTCTATATCCATGCATGTGTCGATGCCTAATGAACCCGCCTGGATCAATTTCTTCACGGCGCATTGATTGAATTAAAATTAGAATTATCATTGCAAATATGGTCATGTAGACGACGGTCACCAGAATGGAATTTTCCTATTTCTTATATCTGTACATATGGTAATGAAGTTTTCTTATTTCTTATATTGTACATATGGTATAATGACAAAGTTCAGATTCTATATATGAAGAATGTTTGGTAATTAATTTTTATATTTAAGTTTATATAATGTCCGTATGGTAATTAATATTTAAATCCAATTAAATAAGTTTGGATGTTCTTTTTTTTTTTTTTAGATAATGTATCTCATTGTTGCTCCTGAAGAAGCACGACTCTATAAATAATACATGGCTCCTAAAGAGTTAATGTTTCTAATTAATAGTTAGCTAGTGCTCTTGAAGTAACACACTATTATAGACAAATACTCTAGTTAGATTTTACTTGCTCCAGAAGAGCATAATTAAATACGATTTAATGTAAATTATATTTTTACTCCTGGAGAGTAAATCTTTGTATAATTTATTATAATAATATGTGATTGTTCCCGAAGAGCATGAACTATAACTTTCAATATTCTAGAAGAATATTGATATATTGCTCTTGAAGAAGTAATGATAAAATATAATGTGTTCTCGAAGTAGCACATGTATCAAAAACTTATATCTTATTATGTTCCCGAAGAACATAAACTAAATAATTCAATACTGATCGTAAGTTTTTTTTTAAGGAAAATAAGTTTTATTAATATTCAAGAAGAATATTAATTTATCACTCCATAAGAGCATACAATTCTGTGTTTTAATTTTATCAAAGAATATAATATTAGTGCTTTTGAAAAATCATAAATTTTGAAATAGTAATAAGATTTAAAATTGATTATCAAGATATTTGTTTAACAGATAGTACAATTATGCACACAATTTTTTAAGATAAAATTTATAAAAATGGTCAAATCAAGCATTATCACGAACTAGAAGTTCGTTGATCTAAAAATTCTTATACTTTGGAATGATCGATTTTGACATTTAGGAGCGATACTGATGCATCTAAACAACTAGCATGGACATTACTTAAAGAACCAGGAGATTCTTTTACCTAATGATTGTTCATGTGCAGCTTGTTCGCAATGTAAATTAGTCATTAGACTTTTGCCTACAAAAGTCAGTATTGAATCTCCAACTTTCTTGGAAAGAATTCATGGAGATATGTGGGATAATACACCCACTATGTGGACCTTTTGTTATTTTATGGTATTAATTGATTCTTATA